TCAAGCCCACCGCAATGGAGGAGGCATCCAGTCCGGGCCCGCGGTGTAGAATCGTCCGCGAACAACCTCACTCACACTGCGATGCCGCAAGCAGTGCACTTAGGGCTCTGAAAAGGGAACCGACCAAGGATGATTCACGGACCTGTTCGCGCCCAAGTTGTCGGGCTCTCTGAGGTACCACGCCCGTTCATGGAAAAGTAGAACCCGGGTCGTTTCAGGGCTGCTCGCCCACAGTGCAACAAGTATCGCGCAACGCCCTCCCAGCGGGGAGCCGACTAAGGGTGTGTCCCGGCGGAGCGGGGTGGAATTCCGCGCCCGCCGGTGATTGAGTGACTGACTGACTGACTGACTGACTGAAAGTCAGGAGGGCGCCTTGAACAACACATGTCAAGCCGCCCGCGGGCGCGCAACCGCAACTGGGCGACACATCTCGACCCGTCCGCGGGCGCGCAACCGCAACCGCAACTGGGCGACACATTTCAACACGCCCGCGGGCGCGCAACCACAACCGCACCTGGGCGACACATATCAACCCGCCCGCGGGCGCGCAACCGCAACTGGGGGAAACATTTTTAAACCGCCCGCGGGCGCGCAACCGCAATCGCAACTGGGCGACACATTTCGACCCGCCCGCGGACGCGCAACAGCAACTGGGCGACACATTTCAACCCGCCGCCCACAGGCGCGCAACAGCAACCGTAATTGTGCGACACATTTCGGCCCGCCCGCAGGCGCGCAACCGCAACCGCAACTGGGCGACACATTTCAACCCGCCCGCGGGCGCGCAACCGCAACCGCACCAAGACGACACATTTCAACCCGTCCGCGGGCGCACAAGCGCAGCTGGGATACACATTTTAACACGCCCGCGGGCGCGCAACCGCAAGCGCAACTGGGTGCCACATTTCAACCCGCCCACGGGCGCGCAACAGCAACCGCAAATGTGCGACACATTTCGACCCGCCCGCAGGCGCGCAACCGCAACCGCAACTGGGCGACACATTTCAACCCGCCCGCGGGCGCGCAACCGCAACCGCACCAATACGACACATTTCAACCCGCCCGCGGGCGCGCAAGCGCAGCTGGGATACACATTTCAGCCAGCCCGCGGGCGCGCAACCGCAAGCGCAACTGGGTGCCACATTTCGACCCGCCCGCGGGCGCGCAACAGCAACCGCAACTGGGCAACACATTTCAACCCGCCCGCGGGCGCGCAACCGCAATCGCAACTGGGCGACACATTTCGACCCGCTCGCGGGCGCGCAACCGCAAATGGGCGTATTCAGCAACCGCAGACGCAGCTGTGCGACACATTTCGACCCAACCGCGGGCGCGCGACCGCAACCGCAACTGTGCGAAACATTTCAACCCGCCCGCGGTCGCGCAACCGCAACCGCACCTGGGCGACACAGTTCGACCCGCCCGCGGGCGCGCAACCGCAACTGGGCGACGCATTTCAACTCGCCCGCGGGCGCGCAGCCGCACACGCAACTCGGCGTCACATTTGGACCCGCCCGCGGGAGCGCAACCGCAACCGCAACTGGGCGACACATTTCGACCCGCCCGCGGGCGAACCGCAACCCTACCTGGGCGACACATTTCGACCCGCCCGCGGGCGCGCAACCGCAAGCGCAACTGGGTGCCACATTTCGACACGCCCGCGGGCGCGCAACAGCAACCGCACCAAGACGACACATATCAACCCGCCCGCGGGCGCGCAACCGCAAACGTACCTGGGCGACAAATTTCAACCCGCCCGCGGACGCGCAACCGCAACCGCACCGCTCACCTGCCGCCCTCCTCCAGGGGATCTGAGTTGGAGGAAGGGTTGGAGGGAGGTGCGAGGGAGGGGGCGGGAGGAGGGAGTCGGGGGGGAGGAGGAAGTAGGGGGGAAGGGAAGGAGAAGGACGGAGGGTAGAGAGCTCACAATGCTTTGAGGCGGACAACTTCAGCCCCCCCCCGTTCCAAGCAAGTGGATCTCCACATGGCTCCAGATACTGGATTCCTTATCCAAGGCCTCCACGGTCTGCTAACGGGATGGGTGGGTTAACCGCCCCCGAGGGGGGAGACGAGGATTGGCACCGCCTACTGTGAAGTTGGGGGGCGATGCCACGGGGATCGATTGCGCGTTCACCCGCGCGCAAGCTGCCCGCGGAAGTAGGTGCATCGGCGCCATCTTATTCATGCAGTCTGCCGCGTCTTATTCATGACTTGGTGCAGAAGCAGGTGGGGGAGGAGGGGGGGGGGACGAGGAGGAGGTAAGGGAGGAGGAGGGGGAACAGCAGGACGCTGAGGAGGAGGACGAACAGGAGGAGGAGGAGGAGGAGGAGGAGGAGGAGGAGGACCAGGATGGCCAGGAGGAGGAGGACGACGATGGGGAGGGGGATGCCAGGGTGGTGCTGCTTGAGGAGGTGCACGATCAGGTGCTTGTTGCGGAGGACGGAGGAGGAGGAAGTGGTGGACGTCAAGGAGGATATGGGCGTGGAGGTGGATGTCCTCCTCGCAGCCTCCGGGCGTGACCCGCGGTTCTCCGCCGGGACATTGCCGCGGGGAGTCCCCATTCCACGCTGCTGCCTCTGATTCATGTGCTCGTTCGCGCCCATCTTGTCTGGAACTCAGAGATGGAACGCCCGCTTGGGGCAATGTGTGTGTTTCCAGGTGCCTCCGGCACAGGGCAGGCTTCGCGCTGGTGAATAGCGTGCGCTCAGGGGTCATCGGCACCGCGGTCACGCCAATCGTGCGGGGACATCTCACATCGAATCACATAGAACGCCTGTTTGGAAAAAGAACATGTGTCTTCTCAGGGTCCTACGGTCACGCCTGTATCGCTGAGACAACTGAAGCAGAACGCCCGTTGGGGGAAAGAGACGAGTGTCTGTTCAGCACCCGCAGCGCAGCAAGCATCGCGCTAAGACATCCCAAAGGGGCAACCGACCATGAGTGTTTCACCGGCCCGCTCGCGCCCAGAATGTTGGGGCCGCTCTGGTAGAACGCCCGTTTGGAAAGAGAGCGCGTGCCCTACGGCCACCGCGATGTAGCAGGCATCGCGCGAAAGGTTCCCAGCGCGCTCTTATTGCCGGGACCTGTCAGGCAGAAGGCCTGTTTGGGGAAAAGGGCGTGTGCGTTTCCAGGGCCCAATGACCGCCGCGATGTACAGTCGGAGTCGGAGTTTATTGGAGAGGACACGCGAGAGGACACAAGACCCTTCCGAGGGCCACGTTGCCACAGAAATGCAGGAGGCATGGGTCGCAAGACACAGGACACGAGGGTACCCTCGATTTGGCAGGGTCGACCTACTAATCTGGGCCGCCTGTAGGAAGCATCGCGCTTGGACTCCTCAAGGGAGCGTCCACAAGGAGTGTTTTTGCCGGGACCTCTCAGGGATAACGCCCGTTTTGGGAAGTGGACGCGTGTCTGTTCAGAACTCCATGCTCACGTTTTCCGAAGCCTCATTCGCCGTCATCGCCGCCCCAATACTTCCATGCTGTCGCGAGCGTGCACCTGGCTGCGCACCTGGATTTACGCGCGCGCGCGCGCGCCCTGCCAGGTATCGCAGCAAGGGCATCGGAGAACAGCGCAAAACGCCGCACAACAGCAAACAGCGACGCGAAGCAGCAGATGGGCGGCAGAGGTCAGCAGGCAGCAAAGTTGAAAACAGCGCGCACACTCGGACCCTCTGTCAATCTCAATCACGGTCAACTTCGCTCACGCTCGGAGGAGAGCGCTGGAACATGAGATGCACATACCGGAATCGCCGCGTCGAATACTTTGGAAATGCGATGATCCTCCCTCTCCTACTCTTTCTCTCTTTCTCTCCTATCCGCTCTCTACCTGCCCCCCCCCGCCGAGCCAGCAGCGCAAAAAGATGCCCTGCTGATCGAGAGCCCGATCGGACACCCTGGCTGATGGCCAACAGTGGAACCACGAGCAAGGGGCTGGTGCCCCCAGACCACCGATTCCCCTGATGTTGCCGCAGAGGGAAGAACCTGCTCTCCCTTCCCCTCCTCGGTACCTCCTCCCCGTCCCTGATGCCTCCTCCATTCCTCCTCCTCCTCCTCCTCCTCCTCCTCCTCCTCCTCCTCGATTCCTCCTCCTCCTCCTCCTCCTCCTCGACTCCTCCTCCTCCTCCTCCTCCTCCTCCTCGACTCCTCCTCCTCCTCCTCCTCCTCTTCCTCCTCCTCCTCCTCCTCCTCCTCCTTATCCTTCTCCTTATCCTTCTCCTTCTCGTTCTCCTTCTGCTTCTCCTCTCTCCGACTCCTCCTGCTCCTCCTGCTCCTGTTGCTCCTCCTGTTCCTCCTCCTCCTCCTCCTCCTCCGCCTCCTCCTCGGCTCAACCTCCTCAACTCCTCCTGGGACCCCCTGAGGGTCAACAATAGGGGGGGACTGGCATGTGGGGGGGGAACATCGACCTGGCATCGGTTATGCATCGCCGATAGATCGGCGATAGGCTCCCGATCGTAGATCCGCTCGTTCCTGGGCGGGATGGGGCTGTCAGACCCCTTTCGGCGATCGATGCGCGATGGGGGTTCGATGCGTCCTCCCCCATGCCTGTCATCCCCTCTCGTTGCCCGTCATCCCCCGCTACCCTCCTTGGTGACACATCCTCGTTCCCTCGAGGCTCCCGGCGGCCCGGCCAACACCAACCACCGGAGGCCTGCGCAGACTTCCGGGGTCGGCGCTGGGCCCCCCCGGCGGCGTCTCTGGCGCGGCCCCCCTGGCGAGCCTCGCGCGCCAGGGAAGGGGGAATCAGCACCGACGCAAGAAATCCGCGTGGACCTTTGAGAACTCCTGCTGCTGCCATGTCGACCGCAGGTTCCCGTACGCGGGCCCGAGACCTCTCGACCCCATCCGGGGAACAGTTCTCTTCGCCCCCGCTCATCCCTGCTCGTCCTGGGGTCCGAGACCAGCCCCCGCGGAGACCGAGCAGCAAAATTGCGGTCAGGGAGCTCCGCCCTGAGTCCTCCGAGGGGCGCTGAAGTCTGGGTCTCCCGAGCGCCGGGCCCAGTGCTTCTGCACGTCGGTGTACAGCTCGAAGTGCTCCGGCGCGGGGTCGGTGAAGGGGGCCGCCTTCGTGGGCCCAGACACGCTGCCCGCCTGAGGGGCCGCCGGAAGCCGGCCCCGCCTGCGTCTTCGGAGTGCCTCCCGCCTGGACGGGCCCGTCCTCCAGCGCGAGCGTTCTCGGCATCCGGCGCGACGGGTGGGCCACGACCCCCTGGCTCCCAGGGCCCGCCCCCTCCGCCCCGCCGATCTTCCTCTCCCACTCGGCCCCTGGGACCGCATCGCTGCTCATGCTCCTGCTTCCCCTCCTCCTGCTCCGCTTCCTCCAGCATCTGCTTCTCTTCCTCCTCCCCTCCATCCTCCTCTTCATTGGTTTCATCCTCCTCCTCCTCCACCTTTGCCTTAATTTGTCCTTCTCGTTCCACCTCCTCCTCCTCCTCCTCCTCCACCACCTCCTCCTCCTCCTCCTCCTCCTCCTCCTCCGCCAAATCCGCTAACCCCCACTTGCCCAGGGTGAATAGGCGTGCGAGATGATTGGCTGTCCCTCCTCCCCCCGTTCCCCTCCTCCCTCAGAGGTTCAAGCCGTCGTTCAGGGATTGGGGAAAGCGACGGCTTCCCACGAGCGTGTCGAAATCCAGCCTCGGAAGTCTTCAAGGTGCGCAAGATTCCTTCCGACACAGCTCCAGAAGAGCTCCAATACGCCCACGAGGTCTCAAGAGAGACGAGCGTTCCTAAGGACCCCAAGAACTCCGTAAGAGGTCCCAAGAGGGAGCCCAGACACCCTAAACCATGTAACTCGAAAGTAACAACAAATCAGGGTGTAGAACAACTTATTGCTATCTCGATATATCGCGTCCAAACGCCTCCGACAAGGTCCGGGCGCAAGATGGTCCAAATATTGCCATACATGGCCGCATAGGCTCATGGCAGGCTTTCAAACAAAAAAACAAAGCTTCACATATGCATGACGGCCGCGAGCCGGCCCGTGGACCGCAAACGGGCCCACGACCCGAACCAGCCGAACTGGACCGGCCCTCGGCCCGAACTGGCCATAAGCACGACCCTCCCCGGACAGCTGAGGCAAACCTTCCCCGCAACCGAGGTCACCTCACCCTGGCCGCCCCTCCCCGCAGCCACCCCCCCTGCCAACCCCCCTTCGGCAGCCGCCCCCCCTGGCAGTCACTTCCCATTGGCATCCCCCCGGCAGCCACCCCCCTCTGGCAGCCACCCCTCCCCGGCAGACCCCCCCCCCGCATCAGAGGCCCACCCCCTCCCGGCAGCCCCCCCCGCCCGGCATCCGAGGCCCCCCCCCGAGGACGCCGGCCACCCACCTCCCGGGCATCCGAGGGCACCCCTCCCCTGGCTGCCACGGCGGCGGGCGCGCCCTGCGCGCTCCGCTGCCACTGCGGCTGGGTCGTCGTCGCCGCCACCGCTACCGTCGTCCTCTTCTCCTTCACCTCCCCCTGCTAAATACCCCTCGGCTGAACCAAACCGACCGAACCCGACCTGCCGCGCAACTCGAACCCGACCGGCTGGACCGGACCAACCGACGTTCTGAACCAGATCTGCTGAACTGGCCCGAACGCACATCAGACCGGACCGGACTGAACCAGATCGAACCGGGGCCATCATGCGCATATGGCCCGAAGCTGCCCCAGACTCACCCACGCGGCCTCAAAACCCTCCGAAACGACCCCAAGACCCGCCCAGACCCCAAGAGATCCCGACTAGCACTCCAGACGGCTCCGAATACACTCTACAAGGCCCTCGACGGCCGTAGACAGGCCCTAATGTTCGGTCACACGCGTGTCAAGGCCAAACGCCGACAAAACTCCAATCATTCCCCCTTCCTTCTCCCCCTTCTCCGCAATCGTGTTTCCACAAGTCGTGCTTCATGCTTTCAAAATCCCCCCCGTCCCTGACCTCACCAGCTCGCAGTCCCCGTTCTCCTTCGACGCTGTATCTGTGCGATGTGCATTCCCGCACAAAACCAGCCCTACACCGAAACCCCAACCCAGCCTAACGAACTCCAAGGCCCTAGGATCCACACTGAACGCAGCCTCCTCCCTCTCTCCCTTCCCCCTCCCCCCATGTGGTCATGCCCGTTATCGCCAGGGGAGCAAACATTATTTTGCGAGACAGCGACCCTGACCAAGTCCGTCCCGGGCTTGTTAAGGGCTTGGCGACTTCTGCCGTGCTCGATCGACTCGCGCACGAGCAACCACGATTTGCTCCAGGTTTCCCTGGAGATCTCCGGATTTCATTCGGTTTAACTCGATTAGCTGAACTGGCCTTGATCTGCCCGGCTTGATTCCCGCGAGTCGATTTGCGAAAAATCGTCAGGCCCTTCGGGATGGGATGAGCCCAGAGGGCGGTGCACATGCCTTGGGTGTGCATCCCTGGCCACGCACGCAGGGCGTAGCACGTACCGACCCTAGGCCCGGAAGGGGCTCGGTCAGGACCATGCAGGTGCACACCCGGAGATACGACATCACGAGCAAATCTTGAACATCCGGCGTCTCGAACCAATCTGGACGGAGGTGCTTCGGGGATGTCGGCCTCTCGCGGGGCCCTTCCTGGGCCTCGGGGCCGTCAAAACACGGCGCGGGTTGACAAACTGGTCCCCCGGAAGTGGTCGAGAGGTCGGGGCCTCGTGTCTCGAACAAATCGAGGCGCCGGGGGCCTGGGCACGTCGCCACGACAGAATTGCACCAGTTTCACAAGAAGAAGAACCAACAAAACAAAACGAAAAACAACCGGACCCCATGGCCCCATCTTTCTGCAGCATTTTTCTGGCCGGATCGACCTGCGATGGATGGCCCGCAGATAGGGCAAAAGCGCCTGGAGTTGAAGAACCTGCGACGCCAGGATCTCAGGGTATCTAGCTGGCGCCCTTCTGCGAGGGTCCGCCTTGTCGGTGTCGAACTCATCCCGGACCCAGGAGGACTCCTTGTTCCTCCGCCTCTGCGGCGGCTCCGAGCTCGCGCGCTCCGCGAGCTCCTCCCTGACGGGCACGCCCGGGCTGTTGAGGTACCGAGGGGGGGAGAAGGGGAGGAGGGACTGGAGGCCGGTGGACGAGCAGGAGCACCCAGCCTTGGTCTTGGCCCGCGGGCGCAGGCAGGCAGGAGGCGTCGGTCGAGCAAGCTGCAGGAGAGCCCAGACATGCGCCCCCGCCGTAGCGAATCACGGCGGAGAGCTGTTGGCCGTCTTCGGCCTCTGGGGGCCCTCGCTGGCCCCTGGGGCTGTCAGGAAACGACTCGATCGGCATGACCAACCAGCCCCTGGGAAACAGGTGGGGGCTCCCTGGCACCCCGTATGGAAAAGTTGAAGCATCGCACGATGTCTGGAGACCCAGACCCCCGACGTCACGATTTTTTTCAAGAACGTCGACCCCCAGGGGTCTCGACCACTTCCCGGGGACCAGTTTCTCACCCTGAGTCGTTTTCTATCGGTCCCGCGCCCAGTATGAGGGCCCCGCGAAGCCGAAAGTAGCGAAAAACCTTGCGCCGTGATATTCTCATGACTCCAGGGGGTCTTGGTCCCTCTCTGAAAAATGACTCGTCCCCATGCAGGGCAGGGGCGGCCAGCTTGCGATGCGGGATTCCGACATGCGGAGCAGGGGGGGGGGGGGGGGGGGGGCGCTGTGTCCCGCCAGCCATCTACATCCATCTCTCGGCGGCGGGCGAGGGCACTCTCAGAAGGCGGCGGGGCTTCTCAGGAGCCCTCTGGCCTTCTGAAAATGTCTCCTGTCTCTTCGGGGGAGGCTCAGGAAACTTCTCAGAAGGTCTGGGAACTTCCGAGCCTGCTGAAAAGGCCCGCCTTCTCTCGCTTCCCCCCAGGCCGGCCTCAGAATCTTCATCAACGCACTCCCAGACATGCTCGCCTCCTGAACAAATCGCGACACGAGGCCTTCACTTTTACTCGCTTTCGGCCTCCAGGGGCCCTCGCTGGGCCCAGGAAGGGTCAAGAAACGACTGGGGATGACGACCCGGTCCCGGGGAACGCGTCGGGACGTCCAGGGGGCCCCGTGCATTGGAAGAGTCAGGACATCTCATGTCTGGATTTGCGTCCCCAGACATGCGACGTCCTGATTTTTTCAGGACGGGGTCCCCGGAAGTCCCGACCCTTTCCCCTTGACCAGTTTTTCGTCCTGAATCGTTTTTTGATGGTCCCGAGGCCCGGCGAAGGCCCCCCGAGGCCGAAAATCGGCAAAAACCTCCCGTCCTGATTTTTTGTTACGACGCGAGCATGTCTGGGTCCTGCTCCATCCGTTTCTTCGGGGCCACATCTCCCCTCCTGCCGGCGAGCGGGAGACGCGAGCGGTGCGCGGGGGCCGCCCCCCCTGCCCTCGCGCGGCCGGGCGCAGACCGAACGTGTGCTGGGCACCCTCCCAGGGCCCAGCACAGAAAGGGGTAACTGAGGAGGACGAGGAGCAGGAGGAGGAGGAGGAGGAGGAGGAGGAGGAGGGCCAAGAACCCCTCGATTCATTAAACAAATCACGACGCAACATTTTTCGCTATTTTCTGCCTCTGGGGGCCCTCACCGGGCCTCGCGAAACCCTGCCGAAAAAAACGACTCAGGGTGAGAAGCCGGCCCAGAGGAAGGGGTCAAGACCTTTGGGTATCGACACTGTGAACAAATCATGACGTCGGGTGTCTGGTTGGGGGACAACCGTGTGAAAATCCTGAAACGTACAGAAAAACACCATTCTCAGGACTTCAACGCCACGAATCAATCTGACTGTTGCGTAGTGACGATCCTGAATCGTGTCAGAGCACCAATCGAACAGGACTCCATAATTCCGCGAATCCACGTACCTGCTGCGCCCTGGCAATCCTGAGTCGCCCTAAAACACCATTGCTGGTGCTCTCACCATGAGAACGGCGCAAACTCTTGCAATCTGTCGTGCGGCGCTAAGGCGAGAACCACATGTTGAACATGACCGACCCACGAACACGGAAAGGAATATAGACATGTAAGACATGGCAACGTTTCAAAGACACCTGATTGGGCGACGGGCAAATGCAATGCTTAGTGTATCGATCTTGATGTACCGTGCCGAGGGCTGTGCTGTGCAACGCTGTGCCGAATTGCGATGTGCCATGCCACGGTGGTCTCTATAGCGTTGTGGATCCGGTCCTCCTTTCCATCCGAGTCCTGACCGAACTGATCTCGATCTTCAGCTCGAGCTGCCTGAGCACATATTAAGTAGCTGCCCCAGAGCTGATTGACAGGGGAACATGCCAGGAGGACGAGCCGCGGAACGTCCCAAGGGACGCGCCAGGCGACGTGCCAGGCGACGTGCCATGGGGACGCACCGCGGGACTTGCCAAGGAGACGCGCTACGGAACATGCCAATGGACGTGCCACGGGACGTGCCAGGGGACGCGCCGCGCGACGTGCCAGGGGGACTCGCCACGGGACGCGCCACGGAACGTGCCAAGGGACGCGCCAGGTTGCAATATACATAATTATCCCAGCGCGACCCTACCTAGGAGTTGGAGCATCGAGGAAAGCAGCATTTACATCTACACCGACAGCTACATTAACATCTACACCTGCGTCTACATCTACATCGACATCAACAGCGAGACTCACATCTACATCTACACCTACATCTACACCTACATCTACATCTACATCTACATCTACACATACACCTACATCTAGATCTACATCTACATCTACATCTACACCAACATCCAAATCTACACCTACACCTACATCTATATGTACATCTACATGTTCGCATTGGTTTTGTGTTTGCTTTGCATTGCCTTGCCTTTGCTTTTGCTTTTGCTTTTGCTGTTGCGTTTGCTGTGCTTTTGCTTTGCTTTTGCTTGATTTTGTTTTGCTCTGCCTGCGCAGAGACACACGCACATGCATGTTTTCGCATTCGCTCACCGGGTGTGCGTGAGAATGCCCCGTATCCGGTCTACACCGCACGACGTGGCATTGAGCAAGGTTGTGCAACCCTTGCTACACCGAACGATCCTACGAAATTGTACAGCAGCAGCAACTCCCAGATCGGTGCATCATCGGTGCATCATCGGCGCTATGCTGCGCTATGCTGCGCTATGCTATGCTATGCTATGCAATGCTATGCTATGCTGCGCTGCGCTATGCTAAGTTATGCGATGCTATGCTATGCTATGCTATGCTGCGCTGCGCTATGCTATGCGATGCTGTGCTATGCTATGCTATGCTGCGCTAGGCTATGCAGCGCTATGCTCTGCTATGCTATGCTATGGTATGCCATGCCATGCTATGCTCTGCTATGCTGCGCTGTGCTATGCTGTGCTGCGCTATGCTATGATATGCTATGATATGCTGCGCTATGCTATGCTATGCTGGGCTATGCTATGATATGCTGTGCTGCGCTATGCTGTGCTACGCTATGCTATGCTATGCTGTGCTCTGCTATGCTAAAGCTCAGCGGAGCTAAGATGAAGGAAAACTAAGCTAAGATAAACCTGAGCTAAGATGAAGCTAAGCTAAGCTAAGATGAAATAAGCTAAGCTAAGATGAGATAAGCGACGCTACGCTAAGGGGACGTAACTGGGGGAACCGCGGGGCGGATACTGGGGGAACCGCCCGGGGCGCTTTCCACTGCCCGGCCCCTTTAAGCCCAGAGAGTAAGAACCCTTCTAGGCAGAGCCTAGGTAGGGAAAAACACACGAATTCGTGCCCCTGGAGAATGCCAATGTATAGGTAATGAGAGGGCCCAGCTATAGGAACATACGTAAAAACACACGCATGCGTGCCCCTGGATGGGGCCAATCTATGAGGACACACGTACTCCTGGAGAGGGCACATCTATAGGAATACATGTAAACACAAACGTATTCGTGCCCCTGGAGACAGCCAATCTATAGGTAACGAGAGGGCCCACATCTATAGGAACAGACGTACAAACACAGATACGTACCCCTGGATGGGGCCAATCTATAGGCATTACGTAATCCATGCCCCTGACCAAAACGTGTCCCGCACCCTGTGATTTATCGATCGCGATTTCAAAAACCAACGTTTCGCCAGGGACATCCTCAAATTCTAATTCGCTGGCCCACCTCGACCTCGTCGCGCGGCGATAAAGCGAAAACCGCATGTTGAAAACAACCTGCCCCCAATCCATGAAGCTGTTGAAGATTTTTGCATGCCGAATGTGCGCGGCGCCGAAGCGAGAACCGCATTTTGAAAACGAGCCGCACTCAATCCGTGAAACTCTGGCGAATTTGTATAAAGGACTGTGCTCGGCGCAGAAGCGAGAATCCGCCGACCCCTTGGGGATCATCGGCGTGTGAGATGCTTCCCCCTCCCCAAACCCCTCCCCCTGGAGCCCGGTCCGGTCGATTTGGAGGGGGGGGGGGGGTCCGGCACGAGCGCAGCACGGCCGGGACGAGCGGTTCACGGGGCTTTTCCGGGCCCAAGAGGGCCTCAAGACGGGCCAAGAAGCCCCCAAGAGGCCTCCAAGACGGCCCACGAAGGCCCCGAGACGCCAAACGACCGCTCCAAGACGCCCAAGATGGCCCCAAGACGGGCCAAGAGGTCTCCAAGACGGCCCCCGAGGTCCCAAACAAGCCTCCCAAGAGGACCCCAAGAGTCTAAAATTGTTGATTTTCCATAGTGTTTTTCTATGTTTTTTGCTTTTCCGCCTTTTCGGCTTCCCGACGCTCCAAGACGGCCAAAGAGGCCCCAAAGAAAGCCCCAAGATGGCCCAAGAGGCCCCCAAGACGGCCTCCAGACGGCCCAAGACGGCCCCAACACGGCCCAAGAGGTCCCCAAGACGGCCCAAGAGGGCTCCAAGACGGCACCAAGAGGGGCCCAAGAGGGCGACCAAACATGTTGAAACTCTAGCTTTCTGCCCCCAGGAGCCCCAGAGGGCCCCAAGAGTGCCCCAAGAGGCCCCCAGAGGCCCTCACGAGGCCGCCCAGACGCCCCAAGGAACCCCCAAGAAGCACCCCAGAGGCTCCGAAACGGCCCCCAAGTGGCTCCCAAACTCGCTTTTCACCCCTTCGCAGCTTCTACTACCCCCAGATTGGCATAAACAAGGGGTCGGCGGTGTGGCGTAAGCCTAAGAATCACATTCTGAAAGCGGCCCGCCCTCAATCCGCAAAGCCCTTATAATTGTTAAAACGAATGTGCGCGGCGCTTGGGCGAGAGCCACATTTTGGAAGCGGCCCGCCCTTAGCTGTTAAAACTGTCGCCAGTTTGTAAGCTTCAGGATCAGGGGAAGTCTCAGGCGAAACGCCCGACTCGCCCTTTCGACCTGCTTCGGGCTACGATAGGGAGGAGTAATCTACAAGGGACTGGAATGGAGGAGGAGGAGGAGGAGGAGGACACTGGCCAGCAGGGGGGGCGAGCGGGCCCGAGGCAACAGCAGCGAGGAGAAGGATAATGTCCCAAGGTCTCACTCGGCGGCGCGGCAGGCGCAGGAAAAATAACAAGGTTACGACATACTCGAAATGCAGTGGCGTCTGCACGTCGAGGATACATACGATTTTCCTGTGCGGTCAGGCAAAGACTGAGGAGGAGCGAAGCAGAGAGGAGCTGATTGAGACAAACTACCCGGAAGGCTCCTGAGCTCTAGTACCCTCGGCGATCACGGCTGCGGTGGACAGCTGGTCTTCCAGGCAGGCCATCGCTGCGCGCATCTCTACGCAAAACGCCTTCATCTCCTGCATCTCCTCCGCCGCGGCGTCTGGCGCAGCAGCCCCGTCCAGCTCCGTCTCCTCCCCTGTCTTCGGGTCCTGCTTGTGCTTGTTCTTCTTCTTCTTCTTCTTCTTCTTCTTTTTCGGCTTCTCCAGACCCCGGGTGGACGGCGCCTGGGCCGCGGGCGGTAGAGCCTCCGCATCAGGTGGAGGAACCAGGGGCTCCTGGGCCATCCTCAGGCACGCCAACAGCTGGGATAAGGTGCAACAGCCGGCCTCGCCTCCTCAGCCAGGGACGCAGCGTTAATGCTACTGTACGGTCAGTCATTGCCCAATGGCACAGCTTCAACGGCGTTGATTGCCAACCGGCGTAGAATTCAGGAAGAGGGTCCGTCTGCACCGCCTGCTCCACGAAGGAGTCCCCGATGTAGAAGTCCCCAGCACCAAGACGAGGAAAAGGAGGGAGACCGCGAAGACCCAGAAGCACGTCCGAGTCGCTCGAAAGGTCACGGACTCCTGGCTCAAACTGCGACGTGTTCCCATCCGCCTCCGCGTCGTGCGTGATGGCGTGGAGCTGGTTGAGCACCGTGTTGTCGAGGATTTTTCTAGAAGAAGCCTCGGCAATGTGGCGAACCAAATTGTGGGCGAAATCCAGCTGTATTGGCTTGTTCTTCAGCTTGCTTGGGATCCGATGCTCTCGGTGCATCGCCCTGGCAGTCCGAGAAAGCCCCTCGAAATGCTCCCCGCCCAACGTTGAGATGCGCCTCGGCAGGTTGCCGCGAAGCTCGCCGACTGCGACGTGCGGGGCCGTCTCGGGAGAAACGGGCGCGTGGCGAGAGAGAGAGAGAGAGAGACAGGCGAGCAGCCCGAGAACACAGAATTCAAGCAGCGCTGCATGGGCCGACCCTTGAGCCAAACAAACCCTTCAGTCATATTTCCCTGAAGAGTTGCCAATCGCGCACTCTTCTGCCCACGCGTCCCTCCGGACGCACGGCCCAGTGGTGGTGGAGGAGGAGGTCAGAGGAGGGAGGACAGAGAGCGGGGATAGGGATGAGGAGGGCGGAGGACGATGGCGGAGGTGGGGTGAGAAGGCTGGGGGGCCCTCCGGAATTCAGTGGAACCCTTGGCACTCCCCCTATGGGTTCTATCGGGCTTGCCAGAGCCATGCTTTCCCCTCTCTTCCTCCCTCTTCCTCCCCCCTCTTCCCCACTCCTTTTCCTCCTCCTCTTCCTCCTCCTCCCTCCTCCTCAGAAAAATGAAAGACAAAGAGACGGTACGGAATGCGGAAGATGTCGGACCAGTCCTGCTGCTCGAACTCGGAGGCGAACCTGGGGATCCAGGACGCAATGGAAGTGTCCGGTGGGGCCCGTCCGAGCAAGAACAAATGGGAAACGCCGCGTGCACCTGGCCGTCTGGGCCGCCCGGCCACGAGAAGGGGAGGGGGGGGGCGCACCCACAGCACCCACCACAGCCCCCAACAACAGGAGAGAGGGCAGGAGAGGAGGGGGAGGGCATCCGTAGGTTTACCATCGTTTTCGTGTGTGTGTGTGTGTGTGTGGTTGTGTGTGCGCGTGTCTCTCGGGAATGTCCCTGTGTTTCCCGAGGCTCCAGGGGGGACCCCAGGGGCAGAAGAGAAGGAAGGGGCTGGACTCTGACATCCCGCCAACAGGAGGCACGACTTTCCTGTCCTGGGCGTCCAAGGACCCTCGCGGAGATCCAACACGATCACTCCAACGTGAGGGTGGGGTGGGCATCTCCAGCATTGGTTGTTTTTTTGCTTCGCGACGCAGGAAGTTGGAAGAAATATGGAAGGGATGGATTGGGGGATGCAAGACAAACTTGAGGAAGAGGGAGAGGATAATTGGCTTCTCGTGTGGTGTGGCTGCAGCGCTTGGGCTCATAAGAAGGCGATATTTAGTCCGCGCACGCACCCATAGAGGGACAGGACAGAAGAATGAGGAAGGGAAGGGACAGGAGGGAGGCAGGGGAGGAATGGCGGGAGAGGGAAGAGAGGAGGGAGGGCACTAGTCGGAGAGAGAGAGAGAGAGAGATAATAAACAAGAGAAGCCGAGGGAGAGGACGGGATGACTCATGAGGAGAAGGGACAAGGAGGATGAGGGATCGGGAGGGGGAGGAGAAGGAATGAGAGGTGACAGGATAGGAGGAATGATGAAGGACTGGAAGGAGTGGCAGGGGAGGCAGAGGAGAGAACGAAACGAGGAGGCGGGCGAAGAAGAGGATCTTCGGAGCTCGGCCGCTCCTTACCGCCTAGGCGAGGAGACGGCGGTGGGCCCCCCACCCTGCCACGAGAAACATCCGAAGCTGGACAACCTGCTTGAGGTCCCCCGTGTGACCTCTCTCGCCCCCCCGGCCTGCCTACGGTGGGTTCTTGCGGCGTCGGCGCGCGCAAAGATTTTTGACCCCGCGTCGATCGTTCAACCTTGAATCGATCGCTGTCCCGATCGTTCAAAGTCGAATTCGGTCGGGTCCAGTGGCGTTTCCGTGTCCATCTGCGCTTCTGGGGAACACCAAAGGGTACCCGTACCGCTACTCCCCGGACTTCTCCCTGGGTGCGTTCTGACCAAAATTTCGGGGCGAATCCAGCGGTGGCTCCGTCAGCCTCCCAGGAGGCCCGAAAAAGGGAAAACGGGCGAAGGGTAACGGTATGGGTACCTTTTTCTCCCTCCTCCGAGCTTCCACGTCACAGCATTCAACCTTGAACGCCTTCGCTGGCGTCGCCAGCGCGCCATCGCCGCAGGAACCTCCCGCCTACACTGTCCTTTCTGTGGGCCTCCCGAGCGGCCCTGGGCGCCTCCGTGGGCCCGGAGCACCTCCATGGCAACGCCCCAAGGAGGGCGGACGACAAGGGGGGTGGGGACTGGAGGAGCAAGAATGCAAAGATGCTGCTTCTCTCCAAACCTCTCCTGGGGTGCGTTCTGGTCAGAATTGCGAGGCGAATCCGGCTGTGGCGACTGGGGCCTAGGGAGAACACAAGGACGGGTAGCGGTAGCGTTGCCGCTTCCTCCTCCTCGTCCTCCTCTCCTCCTCCTCCTCCGCCTCCTCCTCCTCTTCCTCCTCCTCTGAGCGACACATTTTTAGACACGCCCGAAGGTTGGGGGGGAGATTCATGCGATGAAATCCCCATCGTATACACAACCTCGCGTGCCAGTCCCGTAGGGCGCGACCCCGCAGATACGGGCCGTTTTTACTGCGGACGCCCCACGCAGAGTATATCCGTGCGACCGCGTATTCGCGGGATCGCGCCTCGGAATCCAACCCGTGAGGAGGGCATGGATGTGGATACCTGCGTTCGCCGCTGGTGAGGAGACGTGCGGGGCCCGCACCCCTTCCCCCCCTTCCCTTTTTGGTTTTCGGGTCATACCTCGACTCTCCCGCGGCCGTTCGGGACGCTCCGGGCACCCCCGGAACGCTCTCAGCGAGGCGCAGCCGCTGGAACGCATCCCGAGTCGCTGGAAAACTGACGAGAGTCGACCAGAACGTCTAACCCGAAAATTCCCCCCCCCTCGCCCGAAGAGGGTGGGGGGATGGCAGGCGTGCTGGGCCCGCGCCGGGTTTTACACTTTCAGGTGTTCGATCATGGACCCCTCGTGAAACGCAGGCATCCAGCTTTCACGCCAATTACCGCCGAAGACCGCAAGAACCCGCCGAAAAGAACGCGGGAAACCGCCGAAAACTGCAAGAAACCAGCGAAGACCGCGGGAACCCGTCGCAAACCGCGGGAGACCGCCGAAGACGGCCGCAAGACCGCCGAAGACTGGCCGAAAACCGCCCGAGGCAGATGGGCAACTAGGGGTCCATGGCCGAATGCGCAGAAGGTTTGCACACCCCGAGCGCCTACGCGCCCTGTCGAGCTGCTTCAGGGACGGCACCGGGACGCGCGCCCGGCGCGTGAGGAGCTGGGTGGTGGCCGCGCTCGCCCTGGCGCCAAGGGGGGCTTTTGGGCAGCCGTTCCACGGGAGCCCACGTGGCCCCCTGGCGCGGTCCGACGTGGGCGTGCTCTGGGCCGGAGGAGCGACGAACATCGGATGGGGCGACAGGGCGGCAGGATAGCAGAGGGTAATTATGGTGGAGAATCAGCTCACGTGGCTGGTTCTCCTGGCGCCTCCAAGCGCCAGGAGGCGCCCAAGTTTCGAGGAACGGGCCAGGCAGCGGGGCGGAAAACAGCTGCATGCAGCAGATGTCGTAACCCTACATTGTCGTCTGGCCCGAGAAAAGAAACGGGTCTTACGCATAAGGACATGGCGACCTTACGCCGCGTGGAAAAAGAGGGCGCTCACGCATCGACCGCGCAATGTCCGCGAAATCGACCCGTTTTCTTCTTCCGTCGCTCACTTGGGGCCAGATCTGGATCGGATTTGGACCAGATCCACCCCTTCGGAGAGAGACGAGAAGTGCGAGGAGGGGGAGGCGGAACAAGAATGGCGAGGAAGAGCAGGAGGAAGGGACAACCGCGATCCAATTGTAGAAGAAGCGGATTCAACGTCGCCGACCAAGGCTCCCGTGAACAGACATGGAGCGGGTCGCCCGTGGATTCCAACAACAGCAGCGCCCAAGACATGCTCGCGTGGTTTCACAAATGAAGGGGCCCACAAACACACACATGAATATACACAAATGACAAGACTCAGCATGTTTTCCCATATTTTCTCGGTTTCTGCCTTCCCCCCCCACTTCCCGTATTTTCCCGTATTTTCCTGGGGGCTCGACGATCAATTGTGTCCGTGTGTGTTGTTTCCCCTCCTGGAAAACACGACGGAAGGTTTTTGACAAGACTCGGCCTCCGCGGGCCCTCGCCGCCGAGCCCCGGGACCGTCTACGAACGGCTCGCGGTGCAGACGCGGCCCTGGGGAATTTGCCGTCGCTCGGACGTCCATTTCCCGTGCATTTGTCGGTGTCGTGCGTGTATGTTTTGCTCGATGGTCCAGGATGGTCCTCGAGAATTCTCACCAAGAATCGAGCGATGCCAAGGGAAAGGGTCGGGGCTTCAGGGGGCCCCGCATCGAAAAAGTCTAGGCCTGGGCACGTGCGCATCGATCGATCCAGACAGGCAGGATCCAAAACAATGCTGTAGTTCTGGGAGGATCTGGTTTTACTTCTGCCGCCCTCAGCCAGCCTTCCGCTGGCGCAGCCGCCACCGCCGCTCTACTGTCGCGGACCTTCGCTTCCAAACGAGAGCCAGACGACAGCAAGTTACCCGCGAAGAGGCACGCAACGGTCGGGCTGCTTGACGAGGAGGCGCGCGATATGCCTTGCTTCGTTGGCGCATGGGTATAATTCTTGACCTGAGACACGTTCTTCGCCCTGGGCCATCTTCGCTGACAAGCCCCAACGGGTCCATAAAAAAGCCGTCGCAGACCCGAGACGCGCCTCAATAGGCTCCTGGTCACGAAGAGGCTGGCCGCCATGATCTTTCACGAGCCCGTGGCAGCGAGGCTCGGGTCGCGGCGGCGTGTTGGGGCCCTCCTCGGGCTGACTTAGGGCCCTCTCCTACGTCACCTGACTGCGCGCATCGCACCCCTCGACTCGCGCCGCCGCCCTGGAGACAGGCCCTCTCCAACCCAAGCCGCGAAGCACGAAGCGCGAGTATCTTCGCGCCCGTGGGGGTGGCCTAGCGTTTGGGAGCATGTTGGGCCGTGTTGGGACATGTTGGGACGAGCTCGGCTCCAGGAGCGGTGTCAGCATCATTCTTGGCTCGAAAAGGTGGAGGCGAGAAAGTCATGCAAACATGTAAGAAAACGAATGGCTCTGCCCTCCTGGGGCCCTCTTGGGTGCTGTCCTGGTGCCCCCTCTGGGCGGTCTGGCGCTCTCGTGGGCCTACTGAACGCCATCTTGGCTGGCTTCGAGGGCTTCTGAATCATATCGGGGCCCTCTCGGGCCGTCTCGAAACTCTCTCTGGGCCCTCCGCCGGCCCCCATCAAGCGTGTTTCACATGTCATACATGTTGATCCTCGGCCCTCCTCGTCTTCATCCTCCAAAGCCTACCATCAACTGTGGACCGCTGCGGCAGCATGCTCGCTGGTCCCTTTGGAATGCCACCCCTCAGGGGCCCAGGGGATGATGGCCAGCGGATGCGGTCGGTCATTCGAAGGTGGAACATCGCCAAGTGCCCCGTATAGAACACCTCTACTCCGCTGCCATCCGTCATCCTCCGCTGTGGAGCACCTGATTGTTCCTCTGCCGCTCCGTCATCCTCCGCTGCATCCGTCAGACCTCTAACGTCTAAACCCTGCGGGTTTAGAGGTCAGAGGTCCACTGGGATCCTGCAGATACATTCGAGAGAATCCTCCTCCTCATCCTCCTGCTCCTCCTTTCCTCTCTCTCTCTCTCTCTTGTTTCTCTCATCGCTCCTCTCTTCTCCTCCTCCTTCTCCTCGTCATCTCTCCTCCTCCTTCTCCTCCCCCTCCTACTCCTCTCCGACCCTCGTCATCTCTCCTCCTCTCTCGTCCTCCTTCTCCTACTCCTCCCCGAACCTCGTCATCTCTCCTCCTTGCTCGTCCTCCTTCGCCTCCTCGATCACCCTCCTGCATCATTGCCCGTCTCCTCGTCCGCCCATCTCGATCTCCATCCTGGATCCTCGACCCTGACCCGCGCGCCTGTAGCAGGCGTGGACGGAGAGCCAAATGGCCACGACGTAGTACGCGAAGGCGGCAGCGTTACAGGTCAGCCAGAGTCCTGGGCTGACGGCGGCCTACGCTAAGAGGGCCTCCTCCGGCTCCTGCTCCTCCCCCTCACCCTCCGCATCCTGCTGCCTTCCCCCTCCCCTGCGACCCAGCGTTGCAGAATAGACCGGGGCCCATGGGCCCGAGCCCATGGATCCCAACCCTCTGCGTCATTTTTCGAGCGGGCTCGATCTGTGAGGGTCCCGGGGCCCGAAATCGGGCGAAAGCGCCCGGCACGAAAGAAATGCAACACCCTGATCTGAAGCTCCACGTGCCCCTCCATCCCCCTCCTCCTCACCCTCCACCCTCCTCTTCCTCCTCCTCCTCCTCCTCCGCATCTGCTCCTCCTCCATCATCCATTCTCCTCATTCTCTTTTCCTCCTCCTCCTCCTCCTCCGCCTCCTCCTCCTGCTGCTGCTGCTGCGCGGCTTTGAAAACTGCTCCTCCTCCTCTTCCTCCTCCTCCTCTTCCTCCTCCTCCTCTTCCTCCTTCTCCTCCTCCACATCTGCTCCTTCTCCATCCTCATCCTCATTCTCTTTTCCTCCTCCTCCTGCTGTTGCTGCTGCTCCTCCTCCTCTTCCTCCTCCTTTTCCTCCTCCTCCTTCTCCTCCTCCTCTCCTCCTTCGCCTCCTCCACCTCCGCCTCCTCCTCCTCCTCCTCCTCCTCTGCTCCTCTGCTCCTCCTTCATCCTCCTCCTTCGTCCTCCTCCATCCTCCTCCTCCGCCTCGCTCCTCGGCCCCCCTCCTCCCCATACCTCTCGTGCACCACCTCCCGAAGAGGAGGAAAACCACGAACATCTTGATGCTAGAGATTCTTGGGATTCTTGGGCGCTGGTCCCCCTCCCCCCCAGGGTACAGCGAGGCGCGTAGGCTGGCGGCGAACACTCGGGAACGGACCGAACCGCAACCGGGACGAGAAGGCCAACACGAGAGAGGAAGGGCCCGTGACGATGAACGACTGCTCTTTACATCATTTCCGGGTAGCGGTAAGGTGGGTGGGGCGCGTCGGGGCGGGGGTAGGATGCGATCACCGCAGTGCGCGCGCGAGCAATAGGTTGTGGGGGGCGGGCCCAGCCCCCCCCCCTCGCACGGTCGTGACTGGCAGTCTGAGGGGTGACGGGAGGGGGGGGATCTGGCCCGGGAAACGACCGTTCCGCGCCAGAGGAAAACACAAATCGTGGAAAAGCGTGTGGGCCATGCGGCTGTCCCCTCCCTCTGTCCCCATCCCCTGGGGTCCAACATGCCATCCTAAGGGGGGGTGGGGGGGGGACGCGTTCGTCAACGCACCCCCAGGCCTCCGGAGCCCCCCAAAAGCCCCAAGACAGCCTGGGCACAGTTCTCCCAAACCTTAACCGGGTCTACCCAAACCAGATGTTGCGGGACAAAACGACCGGGTCTTCCCAAACCAAGCCCCGGATCTTCCCAAACCAACCAGTCTTCTCAAACCACGGGTCTTCCCAACCGGGTCTTCCCAAACCGCCCGGGTCTTCCCAAACCAACCAGGTCTTCGCACACCAACCGCCTAGGCTTTCCCAAACCAACCGGGTCTTCCCAAACCAAGCTCCCGGGCCTTGTCAAACAAGCTGGGTCTGACCAAACCACTCCCCTGGGGCTTCCCAAGCCAATCCATGGGTCTACCCAAACCTCTCGGGTCTTCGTCTGGCACTCGTTCCCGCCTTCGTTTTCGCCTTCGTGCTCGCCCTCGTTCCCGCCTTCGTTCTCGCCTTCGTTTTCGCCTTCGATCTCGCGTTCGTGTTCGCCTTCGAGATCGCCTTCGCTTCCGTTGTTGTTCCCGTTCTCGTTTTCGACCTCGTTCCCGCCTTCGTTCTCGCATTCGTTCTCGCCTTCGTTCTCGCCTCCGTTCCCGCCTTCGCTCCCTCCTACAATTCCGCTTTGTTGTCGTTTTGTGTTAGCCTTCGTTCCCGCTTTCGTTCTCGCCTTCGTTCTCGCCCTCGTTCTCACCCTCGTTCCCGCTTTCGTTATTGCCTTCGTTCACGCCTTCGGTCTCGCCTTCGTTCCCGCCTTCGTTCCGGCCTTCGTTCTCGGCATTGTTCTCGCCTTTGTTCTCGCCTGCGTTCTCGCTTTCGTTCTCGCCTTCGTTCTCGCATGCGCCGTCGCTCCCGAATTCGTTCGCGCCTTCGTTCTCGCCATCGTTATCGCCGTCTTTCCCGCCTTCGTTCTCGCCTTTGTTCTCGCCTCCGCTTCTGCCTCCGTTCCCGCAATCGTTTCGTGCCATGTTCTCGCTCTTGTTTCCGCTGTCGTTCCAGCTCTGGTATTCGCCTCGTTCCCGCCCTTATATCCGCCCTCGTGCTCACCTTCGTTCCCGCTCTCGTTCCCGCCTTTGTTCCCTTCTCGTTTCCGCCCTCGTTCCCGCTGTCGTGCCCGCCTTCGTTCCCGCTTTCGTTACCGTCTCGTTCCCGCTTTGCTGGGAGGCGGGGCCCTGCCGACCGCCTGCTTCGCCAGGGAGTTGAGGGGCGTCGACGCGGCAGTGACCGCAGCGCAGGCGCTCAAGGCTTACAATGCAAATGCCAGTGGTTCCGAGTTTCCCGACGTTGAACGGTTTGGCAGTCAGTGTTGACAGAACCACGCGTTGTCATAAACTGATCGCATCATCCATCCATTCATTGCTCGCGCTAGTATGGTTGTTTGCCCGCGCGTTCGTGGGAAGGCAACTCTGACGAGGGCTTCGAAGGGAATACATACATGCGGGACCTGTCTCATCAATTGCTCCTCGCCTTGAGCTTTCAAGGCGCGTCCAGTATTGCATCGATGACTGTTTTATCAACATGCTTCTCGTCCTTCTCATTCCCGCCTTCTCATCCTGCTTATCGTGCCTCGCCATTTCTTAAAGTGCTCCGCCGGAGAGGGGCGCCACAACAAGAACCGATGCAAGTGTTCTCGCCACCGCTCCCGTTTTTGCTTCGTCCTCGTTCGCGCCATCGTTTCCGCCTTCGTTCTTGCCTTCGTCTCCGCCTTCGCTCTCGCGTTCGTTCTCGCCGTCTTTCTCGCCTTCGTTTCCGCCCTTCTTCTCGCCTTCGTTCTCGCCGTCGTTCCCGCCTTCGTTCGTTCTCGCCTTCGTTCTCGCCTTCGCTCTCGCCTTGGTTCTGGCCTTCGTTCTCGCCTTCGCTCTCCCTTTCGTAATCGCCTTCGTTCTCACCTTCGTTCTCGCCTTCGCTCTCGCCCTCGTTTTCGCCTTGGTTTTCCATGTCGACTCCGCCTTCGTTCTCGCCGTCGTTCTCGCCTTCGTTTCCGCCCTCTTGTTCGTCTCGTCCTCGCCTTCGTTCTCGCCTTCGTTCCCCTCGTTCCCGCCTTCGTAATCGCCTTCGTTCTCGCCTTCGTTTTCGCCTTAATTCTCATCTTCGTTCACGCCTTCGTTTTCGCCTTCGTTCGTTCTCGCCTTCGTTGATGCCTTCGTTTTCGCCTTCGTTCTCGCCCTCGTTGTCGCCTCCATTCCCGCCTTCCTTGTCGCCTTCGTTCTCGCCTTCGGTTTCGCCTGCGTTCTCGCCTTTGTTCTCGCCTTTGTTCTCGCCTTCGTTCCCGCCTTGATTATTTCATTCGTTATCGCCTTCGTTCTAGCCCTCGTTCCCACTTTCGTTGTCGCATTCGTTCTCGCCTTCGTTCTCGCCGTCGTTTTCGCCTTCGTTTTCGCCTTCGTTCCCGCCCTTGTTCTCGCCTTCGTTCTCGCCTTCGTTCTCGCCTTCGTTATCCCTTTCGTTCTCGCCTTCGTTCTCACCTTCGTTCTCGCCTTCGATCTCGCCTTCGTTCTCGCGTTGTTCTCGCCTCCGTTTTCGCCTTCATCCCGCGATCATTCGTGTCAACTGGGCGTTCCCAAACCCGGTTCTCCGAAACCAACCCGGTTTTCCCAAACCAACCGGGTCTTCCCAAACCAAAATTCCTGGGACTTCCCAAACCAAGCCTCCAGTCTTACCAAACCACCCAAACCTTCCCGAACCAAGCCCTGGGTCTTCCCAAACCAACGGGTTTTGCCAAACCGACCGGTTCTTCCCAAACCTACCGCCCGGTCTTCCCAAACCAACCGGGTCTTCCCAAGCCGCGCCCCGGGTCTTCCCAAACCAACTGGGTCTTCCCAAACCAACTGGGTCTTCCCAAACCAAGGCCCCAGCCACCCTTACCAGAGCTTTGGTTTGGAAAGACCTGGTTGGTTTGGGAAAGACGCCCCTCCCCCAAGACAGCCCAACAGGCCCAGACAGAACGCCAAGACAGTCGATGAGAACGTCATGACGGCCCAGGGTAGCCCCATGACGATCCAAGATGGCTTCAAGATGGCCCACGAGGCCCCCAAGACAGCCCAAAAGCGCCTCCAAAGGATCGCCGAGAGGGCCCTGAGAGGCCCAAATCATCCCATTCCCTAAAAAAAAACGCACGTTCCCCGCACATTCGCATTTTACGTTGTGACAGTAAAAACGACGGCCCAAGTGGCCCCCAAGATCGTCCCAATAAGGCCCATGATGCCTCCGAGAAGGTCCCAAGACGGCCAAAGAGGGCCCAAAGACAGCCCTAAGGGCCCTCCAAGACGGCCTAAGACAGCCCCTGGAGGGCCCGTCCCAAGAGGGCCCCAAGAAAGCCAAAGAGGGGGAATGCGAACTAACATTTCGAGCCTTTCCCACCGACATGCCCCCTCGAGCCCCCCAGAGGCCCCCGAGGGCCCTCCAAGAGGCCCCAAGAGGCTTTCAAGACGCCCCCAAGAAGCCTCCCAGAGGCCCCCACGAGAATCCCCAAAGCCTCCCACATGCCCAAGGGTTCTCCAAGAGGCCCCAGAGAGGCATTCCAAAAGACCCTCATATTCATCCAGGAGGCCCCTGACCCACGGTATGACTTCCACGATTGTCTCAAACCTCACTCCTTGTGGGGGTCGGCGGAAGGGCGTAGGCCAGTTAAACAATTTCCCGAGAACCTCCGAGAGCACCACGTACCACACAGATGCTAGAGATGGACCCATGAAAAGCCCGGGCTGAGCAAGGAATGTTCCTAGCATGTGGGAAAACGGGTCCTG